AAGGAGGCCAAAAATAACCCAAAGGATGGTCAAGGTGGGCACAACAATTTACTTTGCAAAAGTTGGGCTAGTCTTTGTTGTGGTGGGGGTGGTGGTGGTGGTGTTTGGACACAATAACAACAAAAATATAGGATTGGTCAAGGTTAACACCCTGCAAAATGGCCACAGACATGACGCCGAGCCGAGGGGAAAGGGGGGGAAAGAATTGTGGTCACCTCTCGATGTGTGTTGTGTGCCATTTCCTGGAAAAGCAAATAAATGTTGGGGTATTTTTTTCCAGTTTCTGTGTCATGTCACATTCCATGGATATTCGGGAGCCATCGAGGAATTGGTCTAAAAATAGCTGGAGTTTGAAAACAAAACAGAAAAACAATCGGTAATTAGGAAACAATTAATAGGGCATACGAATTTTGGAGGAGGTTCACGGCAAAATGATGTCATGGTGGCTTGATGGAGAAATTATATTTCCAGTGGATTTTCCTACTCCTCCCCAAAATTCACTTGGCCATAAAATGTTCCGCTTAAAATTTCATTGTCTGTCAACAAGGTTAAAATATTTTGAAAACCAATTTGAAACCAAAATCTTAATTAGTTGTTTGACAAAAATTTGCAACAAAAACAATATTCACATATGCACAGCTACTCCTCCTCCATTTGTTGTTGTTATCGTTGTATTTCCACCCTCGAATTATGGACGAGTGAGTGATTTTGTTAAGACCAGACCGGGCTAGGTATTGTTTAAATAAATTACAATTATGGCAACAAAATTAAAACCTTTTTGCATGATCACGGAGCATTAGCAACAATACCCTGACGTGGGACCATCACTACCCCTCTTTCCCACCCTCAACAATATGTGATGAGATTCTACTACATCGTCATCATCATCACTCGTTGGGAGTGTGTGTGTGTGAACGAGTTGTAAAACAATTTGTATTGTCTTGCCATTGTTTGCGAGGGTCACATCGAACCTTTTGAGAAAAGCTTCGTAGTAGGAAACCAGAGTTTTTTGAACTCTTCTCCGCTGTCTTTGCAGGGAGGCTAAAGTCACCAGATTTTTTTTCCATTTTTTTTTATTTTCTTTTCAAAGACAATAGCCCCAGCCAGCCATGTAAGCCTATCATGATAATATTCTAGGCAAGTGCCAACCTCTCTCTCTACCTACATCGTATTAATCAGCCGGCCCATCGACATAAAACCAGCAAAAATATCCAAGACAATGGAGACTATCTGGCTAAGAAACACAAAAGATTCAATGATAAAAGCCTGTGTTTTTTTTTTTTTCTAAAAACAAAAAAATATTTGTTTAAGTGGGAGGTTTTGCTAGACGCCTAAAATCAATCAATAAGTTCTATAGACTCAAGGAAAAATGTTGGAGAGATTTTGAAAGCAAAAACAATACACAACTCAATAAAAAACAACATTTAAAAACAAAAAATCACCAACGGGAATTTTTTTCTATGAAAAATTTCACCAATGGGAAAATTTTCTATGAAAAACTTCACCAATGGGAATTTTTTCTATGGAACAATTCACCAATGAGAATTTTTCAATGAAAAATTTCACCAATTGGAATTTTTTCTATAAAACTATTCACCAATGGGAAATTTTTCTATGAAAAGGTTCACCAATGGGAATTTTGGCTATGAAAAATTTCACCAATGGAAAAATTTTTTGTGAAAAAGTTCACCAATGGGAATTTTTTCTATGAAAAATTTCACCAATGTGAAAATTTTCTATGAAAAATTTCAACAACGTGAAAATTTTCTATGAAAAATTTCACCAATGTGAAAATTTTCTATGAAAAATTTCACCAATGTGAAAATTTTCTATGAAAAATTTCACCAATGTGAAAATTTTCTATGAAAAATTTCACCAATGTGAAAATTTTCTGTGAAAAAATTCACCAATGTGAAAATTTTCTATGAAAAATTTCACCAATGTGAAAATTTTCTATGAAAAATTTCACCAATGTGAAAATTTTCTATGAAAAATTTCACCAATGTGAAAATTTTCTATGAAAAATTTCACCAATGTGAAAATTTTCTATGAAAAATTTCACCAATGTGAAAATTTTCTATGAAAAATTTCACCAATGTGAAAATTTTCTATGAAAAATTTCACCAATGTGAAAATTTTCTATGAAAAATTTCACCAATGTGAAAATTTTCTATGAAAAATTTCACCAATGTGAAAATTTTCTATGAAAAATTTCACCAATTTGAAAATTTTCTATGAAAAATTTCACCAATGGGAAAATTTTCTATGAAAAATTTCACCAATGTGAAAATTTTCTATGGAAAAGTTTACCAACGGGATTTTTTCTATGGGAAAGTTCACCAACGGGAATTTCTTGAAAAACTTCACCAATGGTAATTTTTTCTATGAAAAGCTTCACCAATGGAAATTGTTTCTATGAAAATTTTCAACAATGGGAATTTTTTCTATGAAAGACTTCACCAGTGTGCAATTTTTCTATGAAAAACTTCACCAGTGTGCAATTTTTCTATGAAAAACTTCACCAATGTGAAAATTTTCTATGAAAAATTTCACCAATGTGAACATTTTCTATAGAAAATTTCACCAATGTAAAAATTTCCAATGGAAAATTTTACCAATTTGAAAATTTCCAACGGAAAATTTCACCAATGTGAAAAAATTCACCAATTTGAAAACTTTTTATGGAAAATTTTACCAATGTGCAGTTTTTTCTTTAAAAAATTTCACCAATGTGCAATTTTTTCTATGAAAAATTTCACCAATGTGCAATTTTGAAAAATTTAATCAATATGAATTTTTTTTATAAAAAATTTCACCAATGTGAATTTTTTCTATGGAAAAGTTCACCAACGGGATTTTTTCTATGGAAAAGTTCACCAACGGGAATTTTTTCTATGAAAAAGTTCACCAATGTGCAATTTTTCTATGAAAAACTTCACCAATGTGAAAACTTTCTATGGAAAAATTCACCAATGTTAAAGTTTCCAATGGAAAATTTCACCAATGTAAAAAATTTCACCAATTTGAAAATTTTCTATGGAAATTTTAACCAATATGCAGTGTTTTCTTTAAAAATTTTCACAAATGTGTATTTTTTCTATGAAAAATTTCAACAATGTGAATTTTTTCTATGAAAAATTTCAACAATGTGAACATTTTCGATAAAAAAATTCACCAATGTGAAATTTTTTTAGGAAAAATTTCACCAATGTGCTGTTTTTCTATGAAAAATTTCACCAATTTGCAATTTTTCTATAAAAAATTCCACCAATGGGAATTTTTTCTATAAAAAGTTCTCAATGGGATTTTTTTCTGTAAAAGACTTCACCAATATACTTTTAAAACATAATTCAACAATGAAATTTTTTTCCAAATTGTATTCCAATCGAAAAATTTCCTTGAAAAAAATCTAAAACCCAATACCTTCCACCCACACCCACCCGATGTTTACATACGTACATATATTTTTAAATTATTTATTTACTTCATTTCTCTTTCTAAACAAATATTCAAAAATCAATAAAAATTCCTAAAACCTGTTTTCGAACACAGTTGGGGTGGTGGAGAGGAGCTTTTTTGGTTCGGTGGCGGGCTTTCAATTGTTCAAGTGTTTCAGTAGCGGCGTGTTGGCGTGTTTTGCATTTTTAAAATAGACAACTAATTAACGATAGATAAAGACGTTTTTCGATGTGAAATTCCTACGCACACACACACTAACCATTTTAAAATTGCAGTCAACAAGTGTTTTCCGTGTGTATGTGTGTGGATTTCAATGTTGTCAAAAATGACAATCAATATTCGTCAAATAGACGAAACAAAATTAAACGAAATAAGTGTTCGGGAAAAAAACTGAGTTTTTATGAAAAATGTCAACAATCAGATTTTTTTCTGTGAAAAATTTCACCAATGTGAATTTTTTCTATGAAAAATTTCACCAATGTGAAATTTTTTATGAAAATTTTCACCAATGCGGAATTTTTCTATTAAAAATTTCAACAATGTGCAATTTTTCTATGAAAAATGTCACCAACGTGATTTTTTTCCATGAAAAATTTCATCAATGTGAATTTTTTCCATGAAAAATTTCACCAATGTGAATTTTTTCTATGAAAAATTTTATCAATGTGAATTTTTTCTATAAATATTTCAACAATGTGAATTTTTTCTATGACAAATTTCACGATTTTTTTCTATGACAAATTTCACGAATTTTTTTCTATGAAAAATTTCACCAATGTGAATTTTTTTCTATGAAAAATTTCACCAATTTTTTCTATGAAAATTTTCACCAACGTGAATTGTTTCTATGAGAAATTTCACCAATGTGATTTTTTCTATAAAAAGTCTCACCAATGTGAATTTTTTCTATGAAAAATTTCACCAACGTGAATTTTTTCTATGAAAAATTTCACCAGCGTGAATTTTTTCTATGAAAAATTTTACCAACGAGAATTTTTTCAGTGAAAATTTTCAACAACGTGAATTTTTTCTATGAAAAACTTCACCAATGAATGCATTTTTTCTATGAAAAACTTCACCAACGAATGCATTTTTTCTATTAAAAATTTCACCAATGTGAATTTTTTCTATGAAAAATTTCACCAATGTGAATTTTTACTATTAAAAATTTCACCAACAATTTTTCATAGAAAAAATTCACCAACGAGAATTTTTTCAGTGAAAATTTTCAACAACGTGAATTTTAACCAATATCAATCTTTTCTAAAAAAAGATTCAATAAAGTTATGTTTTTCTATAAAAGAAATTGAGTTTTTATAAAAAAATTCAAATTTTTTTTCTGTGAAAAATTTCGCAATGTGAATTTTTCAATGAAAAATTTCACCAATGTGAATTTTTTCAATGAAATTTTTTAATTAAAATTTTTTCCAAATTTTTTACCCAAATGTTTTGGCCGGAACTGCCCAAAAAACCGCAAACGAAAAAAAAACAAAATTTCCAAATTTTTACCGAAAAAAATTATTTGTGCTTCTAAAACATACCTGAATTTTATTTTGAAGTTTTGTTGTTTCTTGAATAGAATTGTTGTTCGTTTTGTTGTTTATTTTCGTATTCCACAAAAACCAAGCTTTGCTGCAGAACATAAAATAAAAAGCGGGAGAGAGAGAAAGATGACGTCTACTCCATAGCAATGTTAACACATTGTTTATTTCTTTGTTATTTGTTGTTGTTTTCGATATTTTATTCAAATTAAATATTTTTTTATTGTTGTTGTTGGTTTTGCTTTGGTAGTGGTAATATTGTCTCAGTATTGATGGCCGACCGACCTGTTGCTGCAGCTCCAATTTAATTCATTTGTGGTGTTTCATTTCCGTTTCGTTTCAACGTCAAGCTTTTAGTACGGAGAACTGTGAGTGGAGCGTAAAATCAACTCTCACTCTCACTGGTAGGTTGGGGGAACTTAGAACAGAGAACCCGGTTTAAAACGTTGTTTTATTTAGTTTGACTTTTTTTCTTTGTTGTTTACACACAGCAGGTATTATGTGGCTTGCAGGGAGTTTTGTAAATCCGCCACGCCGAATCTCTTGCCAGGCAAAAAGAGAGAGAGAGACTTATTTTCTACAACTCAGCAACATTTAGCAGTGAGCATGTACCACTTTGCCCCCCCTTCAGGAAAACGGCGCCCAACCACAAAAGCCACCTTTTTTTTAAGCCAAGTTCTGTTGGTATTTCTCGTTGATGTATGGGTATTTGGTGGCCTGTAGATTCTTCAAGCGGCTTTTGATGGTATTACGAATAGAAGTTGACAACAACAGGCAGGGGGTAAGGCCTTTACCTTTGGAAACTTGAAATTTTTATGGTTTTCCACAAACACTTTATTAAAATATTTTTATTATTTTTTTAAAATTTCCAGAATTCTTTCAAATGACTAAGACTTCCTGGGCTCCCCTCACTTCAAATTTTTCCCTTGTTGCTTATTTTTCTTTACCCACAAACATGGCTTCCTCCTATTGCACTTCTCCACATAGGTGGATTTATCACAATTTTCCACACAAATTTTCTTGAGATTTCAAATAACATTTATTCACAATTTTTTTTCTAGAATTTTTCTTAGCTTTTCTGTTACGCTCTTTTTCGATTAACTCTTTCTTTGGCATTTACACCTTATTTTCCACTTCTTATTTTGCGTTTTGGCCCCCCACACCAGACATCAAACAAACATGCATTGGTTCACACACAGCCAAACACCGAAAACCAAAAAACTAACCAGTTAACAACAATACAACGAAATGCTATTAACGTTTTGAACGGTACTCTTCGTCATCCGTCCGGTCAACGTTGCTTAACGACACGAAAAAACGCTTTGCTGGTGCTGCTGCTTTGGCGACACAACTAAACTCATCCGTTACTAAAGCCCAACTAACTGGGCTCCCCCATAAATCCACAGAGTAAAGTTTTCGATTCGGTTTATTAAAGCTTAGCACAAAACGCCATTAAAACTGTTATACAGCTGGGTTGCTCTCTTATACCACAAAAGTGTTACATAGTGGCAATGAAACACAGTAATGGGGCAGAGGGGGAAACGAAAAGCTTACATTTGGTTAAAGCTTTTGGATAAAACGTATATGTCTGGGTGTTATTTTGAAAATCAAATTTGTAAGGAAAAGGGAAACCAATAAATTTTTCCTATGGAAAACTTAACGGATGTGAAATTTTCCCAAAGAAAATTCCAGTGATGCAAATTTTGGAGAATTTGGAAAACTTCATTGATGTGAAATTTTCCCATGGAAAACTTGACCGATTTTAAATTTTCCTATGGAAAACTCCACCGACGTAAAATTTTCCTACGGAAAACTTCACTGATGTGAAAATTTCTCATGGAAAACTTCATCGATGTCAAATTTTCCTATGGAAAACTTCACCAATGTGAAATTTTCCAATGGAAAACTTCACCGATGTGAAATTTTCCCATGGAAAACTTCACTGATCTGAAAATTTCCCAAGGAAAATTTCACTGATGTGACATTTTCCTATGGGAAACTTCACTTATGTGAAAAAAGATCCTCAACAAATGTGTATTTAAAAAAAAATTAACGACCCTCAAGAAACGTGGATTTTTTAAAAATATTTTTCCCAGGACCCTCAATGAATGTGGATTTTTTAAAACTATTTTTCCAAGGGCCCTTAAAAATGTGGATTTTTTAAAAATATTTTTTAAGGATCCCCAGCAAACGTGGATTTTTTTAAAAAAAAATGTTTAAGGATCCCCAGCAAACGTGGATTTTTTGAAAATATTTTTTTAAAGGTCCAAATATGAATGTGGATTTTTTAAAAATATTTTTTCAATGACGCTCAACACACGTGGATTTAAAAAAAAATGTTTTCCAAGGGCCCTCAAGAAACGTGGATTTTTTAAAAATTGTTTTTCAAGGACCCTCAAGAAACGTGGATTTTTTAAAAATATTTTTTCCAGGACCCTCAATGAATGTGGATTTTTTAAAAATATTTTTCCAAGGGCCCTTAAAAACGTGGATTTTTTAAAAATATTTTTCCCAGGACCCTCAATGAATGTGGATTTTTTAAAACTATTTTTCCAAGGGCCCTTAAAAACGTGGATTTTTTAAAAATATTTTTTAAGGATCCCCAGCAAACGTGGATTTTTTAAAAATATTTTTTCAAGGTCCAAATATGAACGTGAATTTTTTAAAAATATTTTTTCAAGGTCCAAATATGAACGTGGATTTTTTAAAAATATTTTTTCAAGGTCCAAATATGAACGTGGATTTTTTAAAAATACTTTTTCAAGGTCCAAATATGAACGTGGATTTTTTAAAAATATTTTTTCAAGGTCCAAATATGAACGTGGATTTTTTAAAAATATTTTTTCAAGGTCAAAATATGAACGTGGATTTTTTAAAAATATATTTTAAGGGCAATCAAATAATGTGGATTTTTTAAAAATATTTTTTCAAGGTCAAAATATGAATTTTTGGATTTTTTAAAAATATATTTTAAGGGCAATCAAATAATGTGGATTTTTTAAAAATATTTTTTCAAGGTCAAAATATGAATTTTTTGGATTTTTTAAAAATATATTTTAAGGGCAATCAAATAATGTGGATTTTTTAAAAATACTTTTTCAAGGATCTTCAACAAACGTGAATTTTCTAAAAACATTTTTTGAAGAAACCTGAACAAGCAGGTATTTAAAAATATTTTCCTATGGAAAACTTCACAGATGTGAAATTTTCCTAAGGAAAACTTCACCGATGTGAAATTTTTCGTATGGAAAACTTTGCCGATGTGAAATTTTCCTATTGAAAACTTCACCGATGTGAAATTTTCCTATGGAAACTTCACCCATGTGAAATTTTCCTATGGAAACTTCACCCATGTGAAATTTTCCCAAGGAAAACTTCACCGATGTAAAATTTTCCTATGGAAAACTTCACCGATGTGAAATTTTCCTATGGAAAACATCACCGATGTGAAATTTTCATATAAAAATCTTCACCGATGTGAAATTTTCCTATGGAAAACTTCACCGATGTGAAATTTTCCTATGGAAAACTTCACCGATGTGAAATTTTCCTATGGAAAACTTCACCGATGTGAAATTTTCCTGTGGAAAACTTCACCGATATGAAAATTTCCCATGGAAAACTTCACTGATGTGAAATTTTCCTGAAATTTATGTGCTCTAACTAACTCCTTGTCCTTTTTGAAATAAAACAATTTTCAATATTTTTTTTTTTAGTTTTTTTTTGTTGTTTGTTTTGCGCGGTTTTGTGTTTAATTGTTTGTTTTTTATTTTCTTTCTCTTTATTTATTCCATTTTTTGTTTTCAATTATGTGAGTTTTGTTCATGTGTTTCTTGTTTTAATTGATTTTCTTGTTTTTTTTCTATATTTTTATTGGTTTGGTTTTGCTTTGTTTTTGTTGTTGTTGTTGGTTTTCAACTAAAATACAAAAATAGTAAGGTTTGTTGGATTTTTGTTTTTTGTGTTTTGCTTTTTTTTGTTTTGATAAAATTACAATTATTACAATTTTGTTGTTGTTGTTGATGATGTTCTTTAGTTTTTGTGTTTCAATTACGTACAGCTAACAAATTATAATTAATTAATTAATTCATCAATTAATTAATAATATTCAAAAAAATTAGTTACAATATAAAGATATTTTGTTTAATGTGTATATTATTTATATATATAATAATTAATAATAATAATAATTACTATATTCTATATATAAGCCATAATGGTCTCCATAGGTTTCAATTATTCAAGAGAGGTTGTTGTTGTTTGTTTTTATTTTTTTTTGGTTTTTTTGGAAGAAAATAGTAGAAATTCCTAGACATAAGCAGTTTTTTTGAGAGAAGTTTTCACTGGGGAAATGGGTTTATTTTGAATATATATTTTTTATTGAAATTAATTTAAAAAAAAAAAAAACAACAAAAAAAATATTATAATTTTTTTTTAAGGTACAGTGTTAAGAAATAATTAAAAATAATTGTAATTTGGATTTGGATTTTATTAAAAAAAAATTGTGGAAATCTATTTCCAGTTGTTTTTAGAGAAGATCTCTTTTGTTTTTAATTTTTTTTTTTTTTTTGATACTTTTTATTTTTAATAATTTTCTGGAAATTAATAGTTGATTATAAATTATTTTTTGAAAAAAAAACTTAAACAAAAATAATTATTACAATTTCTTTAAAAATGTCATGTTAAAAAATACAGGGTGAGATGAACCAACTGCAACCAAGTTTTTTTGATTCTTTTTATTTTTAATAATTTTTTCAAAATTAATATTTGATTACAAATTAATTTTGAAAAAAAAAATTAAAAAAATTATCATAATTTCTTTAAAAATATCATATTAATAAATAGGGGGTGAGATGACAAAACTGCAACCAACTTCAGACTGTTTTCATTTCTAAGCCACTCGTCCGACAGCTGTTAAAAATATTCCAATGACAGCTCATTATATTGTTTACAAGCGTACAAAAGCATTTTGGCGGGAATTTTCTAGGAAAAAAGTTATTCGTGATGGAATTCAAGCGTGATGGTGTGATTTCTTTATATTTGGCTGGAAAACCAAAAGTGGCTATCGTTAGAGCACTCCAGCACTTAAATGTGAATAGGTCTTTTGTGTCTCGTACCATCGCTCGTTACCGTGATACTGGTAGCGTAGCCCGACGTCAAGGAAGTGGACGGAAGAAACATCAGCAGAATGGGTTCGAAAAGTAAAGAAGCGACTTAATCGAAACGTCGCAGTGGCCGAAAAATGGCGCGTGAGCTGAACATATCGCAATATTCCATTCGGCAAATATTAAAATATTGAGCTCGGGGTAAAGCCATTGAAATTCCCAAAAGTGCAAGAACCTACACCGCAACAGAAAGAAAACAGACTTAAAAGAGGTAAAGAGTTGCTTCGTTTGACCGAAAGTGATGAACTGGCGAATTTGCTTTCCATTCGGCAAATATTGAAAAATGAGCTCGGGTTAAAGCCATTGAAATTCCAAGAAGTGTAAGAACTTACACCACAAGAGAAAAAAATAGCTGACAATAGCTAAAGAAAATAGTAGCTTTGCTTGGCCGAAAGTGTTGATGAACTTCCGAATTTGGTTTTCTCCGATGAGAAAAACATTCGTTGTCCAGCAGTTTGTAAACAAACAAAATGATCGTGTTTACTTGCCAAAGAGGTCAGCTGAAAATGTGCACCTTCCGTTGGCCACCAGAACTGAAACCTCAAGCCGGCCATGGTGATGGTTTGGGCCGCCATAACAGCCGATGGTCGCTCTCCGCTTGTATTAAACGACCGTGACATCAGAATAAATGCCGAAAATATTCTGGAGGGAGTATTAAAGCCTTGGGCACGCAAACATTTTGGCCGCAGACGTTGGACATTCCAACAGGACTCAGCACCATCGCACTCAGCACGCGCCACCAAGAATGAGGTTCTTCGCACAATGGCCACCAAAATCTCCAGATACCAATCCGTTGGACTATGGAGTATTTTAGAAAGCAAGTTTGGCACCAACAAAAATTCCAAAGTGTCAATCACCTCAAGCAAGCGTTCGCCGGGAATGGGCCAAAATACCGCAGAGCAACATTCGGACAGCGTGTGACGGTTTCATTGGCCGTTTGAAGGCCATAATTCGTGCCAAAAGTGACCAATTCGAACAAATCTAAACTTATTCTAAAATTTGAAGCTATTTCCGACATTTTTTGCTTTCATTCAATAAAATTTAAAAAAAAATGCAAAATTTATGGCGTTTGACTTTGTTGCAGGCTTTTTTTATCTCACCCTGTATAGGCATAAATTAAGGTGATTTAAATATTTTTTTTTTTATTTTGAAAATTTTTTGTTTAAAAAGTTTTGAATTCCTTGTTTAAAAATAAAATTATAAAAATAATTGGAAAATAATTT